CGTTTCCTCTCGTCCTATCACTTGTTACTTGGGAGAAGAGACCGACCCCCACCTCGCTACAACCTCCTTTCAGGTAGTTGTAGAGAGCGATGAGGTCTCCCCTCAGCCTCCTCTTCTCCAGGCTAAACAACCCCAGTTCCCTCAGCCGCTCCTCATCAGACTTGTTCTCCAGACCCCTCACCAGCCTCGTTGCCCTTCTCTGGACACTTCATCCTCATCCTCATCCTCATCCAGACTTCCCCAAAGCCTGGGGCGGTTGAGTCTCCCTCCTCTAAGGGAAGTCGACCACATCCTGGTCGAGCATCGTTTCCTCTCACATGTTCTGCGTTTCCTGCTGCTCTCTCACCCTCTTTGGGTTGGAAATCTGCTCCCGTATGAGCTGGGATCATGGGAGTGGGAACATTGCCTGGAAGAGCGGGACCTGCAGCGGGTCCTGCCATGGAGGGACTCCCAATAGAGTGGGGGGGACCTGGGGTCGGCAGGGAGACGGAACGATGATGAGTGTTTTGGGGGGGGGGCGTTTGCCACGTGAAGTCCTCACCCTGGTTTTCTCCTTTGAAAATTTTCTGCTGTGATGGAATTGAATTTAAATCTACTTTATATGAAAAATAGTCACGTTCCACTGGATGCAACCCCATGACAAAAAAGTTTCATGCCTCTTTGCATCTTCTGTTTTTCCCCTGGAAAAGGGAATGAGGAGGAACAAGAAGGAAAGCTCTTTTCTAAAAGACCTTGCAGAGATCCTGAAAAGGGGAATCTTTGGGTTTGATTCTCACCCCAGCAGGATTGTTTTCCTTTTACATCATCTTGACAAAAAGCAGAAAATGTGGGATACGTTTTTTTGTCAAAAAAAAAAAGAAAAAACCAGCAGCTGATGCTCATATGGCTGGAAATGGCATTTTGTTGCCCCAAACCTCTTTTTGAGCAGCAGATTGCCGCGAGCCGTGCTGCTTTGGCTCGTGTCCCGCTGCGACTCGGGCCCCAGTCACCCACCGCCACCGGTGCTTCCCCTCCCGCCATGCTGCACATCGTCCCCGTCCCCTGCTGTGCCAGCTCTGGAGCCCGTCCCCGTCCCCTTCTTCCCCTCCCTGCCCCAGCAGCCCCGCGCTGTGGCGGGGGGGGGTTTTTTC